CTGAGCAGCGGCTGGTCGCCGTCGACATTGGCAGACTGGCACCGAAGGCCCTGGCGGCAGAACAGGCAAGCAGGGCAGACCATCGGGAGGTGAAGGCTGCGATGGTTGCAGCTCGCAGCAGGCGAGGGACGGCGCGCCCGGCAGCATCGGGTTTTGTCGTTTCATGACTGCCTGTGCCAGAAGTGCCCATCACTCTCCTGCCCGTCGCCAACGACTTCATTAGCATCGTGGTTAACAGCCTCGCCCAGGATGGCGCTGAGAAACCCCTGAGCGCAAGAAGCGGGCCGCTCGCCGTTGCATCCAGCGGCAGGCGTAGAAGCGCGGCGAGGACACACGGTTGGTGTTCGCGCAATGCACGGAAGGCGTCCGCCCACGAGCTCCGGCATAATCGGTCGGCAGATCAGAGCCTCAAGCCTGTGATGCTCAATGGCAATTGGGCGCGGCGGCAGCTGAGGTCTGGCAACGGCATGTCGCCATCACCGCCCGCCAGCAACGTTTCCAAACAGCGCCGAATGGCGGCATCGTGTTTGGGCCGGCGGCAGAGTTCACAGCAGGTATGGTGCTGAGCCGTAGCAACAGGCGGCCTTGCTCCTGCAGTCGCTGGGCGAGTTGCGCGGCGATGAATTTGCAATTGCCGATGGGGCTGCCCAGAACTTCGTTATCATTTCTTTTTATTCCCGGGCCTCGTAACCATTGAAGAAACGTCCAAAGCATTGTCCGCCAACGGCAGGATGGAAGGTTTTTTTGTCCTTCTGACGTGGAGTACAGTAATTCAGGGCCTTTGCGCCAGCGAGAATGTGCCAATGCTTCTCGACGGCAAGGTCAAGCACCGGGTCCAGTGCGGGGCCGTCGCTCGGCCCGGACGGGGTCGCGAACAAACACTGCGCGCAAGCCCCTTGCCAGCGCCTTCACTCCGCCCATTGGCCGCAGTTCTCCCGCACTGGGACCGCGGATGCCGGCCGAAAACAAATGCCGTGTTCCAGCTGCCGCCTATCCCGAATCCCAAAACCAGATGCTTCAGCGCCACCCTCACGTGTTCAAAATCATTGCAGTGCTTGAGTCGCTCTGTGCTGTGTGACTTTCAGGGGGGCATCGATATGGGTGACACGTTTGTTGAAAGGGTACCCCAGTGTTGCATCATGTTGCATCGCAGCACAGCACTCCTCCATTGGCAGGGGCGCCGTAAACAACGAGGTCGACGTGCTGGTGGTCGTCTACTGGGACATCGGGGGCGGCACGCCCTGACTTTCGGTTCCAGGCGCCTCCAGTGCCATGCGGACACAGGCGAGGGCATGGCCGCGAAAGCATGGCTCCACCGCAACGGGTTGGGGCCGCAGCATGCCGTAGCGGCTGGAGGAAACAGGTAGGGGCAGGCAGAGGCGACGCGGGGTGCTAGTTGCGTTGTCGTGAGCCATGCTCCGGCATGCGGCCGCGCTTAAAATTGGAATCGTGCGGACTGGGGCACGAGCACCCCGTCACGAGAGTGTCACGAGAGTGTACTCTAGAGGTTCGAAATGCATCGCACCTATGGCCAAAGTCCGGGTGCCACGGGATGCCACCGGCGGGCCGAGCCGCTCCAGCCTTGGCCCTGTACATGGCGCGACGTGCTTTGCACCATGCGAAACAGTGCACACCCTATACGTGTGCTGCCCGGCCTTCGACTGGAGGAGTTGCACGCATAGCTGGCCGTACTCCGAAGTTGGCGTGCATGTATGCCAGGCGGCGTGTTTGCCCAAGGGGCCCACTAAGCTGCGAAAGCGGCAACTTGCCGTGCATAGGGCGAAGGACAGCTACGCCTCGATGGGCGTCGGGCTTGTCGCAACGGCACGCGTCATCCGCGATCCCGAAGCCGGGCCGGCACCGACGAACGAGTCTGGGAGCAATGCCACACCGAGTGCTTTCGAGACCCGCGACAAAACACGTCGGTTACACACATGCCCCCTCTGGCGCACGGCGGTGAGGCGAGCCCTTGCGAGAGCTCGCGCACGACGGCCGGCACGCGAACCGTGCGAGAGTTTCTGCACGCAGCTCGATGGCTTCGACATACGTTGACATGCAAAAACTTCACGTGACTCTTCAAGTGTCCCGCCCGTATGCCCGAACGGCCAGACGCTCCCGAACGTGCGGGGTGGCGATTGCTCGCACGGTGAGATGCACAGGCTGGACATCTGCGCGATCGCGCTCCGTGCCTAGATGAAACGGCGTGCGGGGTTGATAAGCGCGGCCCACGTAGCCTCGTGGCTGGGGGCTAAGGGTGGCAGGCCGTCAGCACTTGACGCGCGAATGACGGTTCACCTTGCCGCACTGTCTTGCAGGCTTGGCGCCGCATTCGGTTACTTCGTCGGGTGGTAGCATCGGGGTATATCGGCGTGTCCTTTGGTGGGCGGCTGATGCGGCGTGCAAACCGTAGCACTGTTGCACCTGGAGCCAGTGTGGCCGTGAGCAGGAACGGAACAGCTTCCACGCCCGGGCAGCACATGTGTTGTGAAACTCCATATAAAACCTGACGACGCCACGGAGCTCTAGAATCCCAGACACCCGCGAAAGCCAGAAAACCCACAGCCTTGAAGGTAGAAGTGCTTTTGTTTTGCTGTCACTGTTTTTTGTTATTTCGTGGGACTCTCAAAAAGTATGTTCGCGGGGTTGACCCGTTGACGCTCATGCATTATGTGCAGCTTCGCATTGAAAGTGCAGATCATGCTGCACTTGTGGCTGCAAGGGTGAGCTGTGCTGTCACACTTGTGGCTGCAAGGCTGTTTTCAAGCTGAAAAACGGCTCCTCGTGTGTCCATCTGAGCAGGACCTTTTCGGTCTGATGTCCAAGTCTTGCATTGCCACCTAGGCGAAGGAAGAGCCGCTGAAACTGGTAGCCTTGCGTTTCGTCCCGGTAGTTCCAGAAGTCCTTCGGGTGACTGTCCTTTGTTCGGACTTCGTCCAACAGGTGTCCCAAGTAGTGCAGCTTGGGCTTAACTCGCCATGTCAGGCTGTCGTCGGGGTCCAAGTGCACGGCCTCCTCCTCCAAGGCCATATACTGGCTGATGAACTTCTCACCAGTTTTCGGCAATTTCTTGCTGTCGAAATTCTCCATGTGCCCATACATTTGGGCACAATACCTTGCCACGTTGTAGACGGCTTGGTCATGAAGGCTGCCATCCTGCAATCCCTTGCTTTCGACCTGAGGCAGCAAAACGTCCGTGCAGAAGTACCTGGTTTCTGCTGCCTTGGTTTAGGGTTTGGGGTTTAGGGTTT